CCTATTATGGTATTCGTTTCCTAGAGGTTCACCCCTCGGGCCATCCTCTGGAGCGGGGATCGTTGTCCTGCGCGGATTCTCGTGCCCCACTCTTGCTACATTGACGGACAGAAGCTTGGTGCTAAATTGCTGCCTGCATCTAAGTGAGCTAGGTGAGGCCGTTGTGTTATGTTCGTCGGGGTGGTCCGGCCCTATGGTTACCTGCTCTTCGGTCAACTTCCTCACATTGGCGGAAACTGCCAGCATCAAGTCCCGATGCCTCGAATTACCACCTCGGGTTCACCACCCTTATGGCAAACGATTGCTGCCTTATGCGGGTGGAAACCCTGTTCTCAGCTAACTTAAGGTCATGACCCCTTAACATTGGGGTTCTCACTAGGGGGTAGTAGTGATCTTTCTTCTTCCCCAATGTCATCTGAACCCTTTAGGAGTTTGAAAGCCTCAATCAGGTCTCCCCTTCATCTTCTCGCCAGTGAGAAGAGTTCGAGCCTCTCCAGCCTGTCCTCATATCTAAGGTTCCGTATTCCTGGGAACCATCTGGTGAAGTACCATTGCGTCTTCTCGAGTAATTTTATATCCCCAGCTAGATATGGGCTCCAGGCCTGGACACAGTACTCCAGATGAGGAAGCACAAAGGTCTTGTACAGTGGTAGTACAACCTCCGGCCTTCTGGAGCTCACTGCTCTCTTCAATTGGTAGAGAGCTGCTAGTGCCTTTCATGCCGCTTGTCGGCACTATGCACTTGGTTTGAAATCAGCCTGTATCTTAATACCAAGATCCTTGGCCTCCATCACTACATCCAGTTCACCCCCAGTACCTGGTGGGCCGAGACGTCAACCCTGCTCTTCGTCCTGCTGAGCGATGAGTCTCTGGCATTTACCTATATTTATCGGCAAATCCCATAGCACAGACCATTCGTAGATCTTGCTGAGATCACTCTGTGCAGTCTCGGAGTTGGGGTTGCCTACCAGCTTTACGTCATCAGCGCAGAGGAGACATGGGTTCTCCAAGCCCCCTACTAAATCACTGATGTACAGTAGAAACAGTAGCGGACCCAGAACCGACCCCTGTGGGACCCCACTATGGAGTTCTCCCTTGTGGGATACTTCTCCCTCTATATTAACCTGGAAGCTCCGACCCTTTAGACAATTACATATCCACCGTTCCACCTTGGGATTCAGCCCAAAGCGCCAAAGCTTCATCATCATCAACCTGTGGTTGACCGAGTCAAAGGCCTTTTGAAAGTCTAGATAGCAGACTTCCATCATGTCTACCCGGTCAATCCTATGCGTTACCTCGTCAAGGAAACACAGCAGGTTTGTGAGGCATGATCGTCTCCTCATGAAGCCGTGCTGATGTGCGGTCAACATGTTGGTTGCTTCTAAGGGTGTGACTATTGTATCCTGTGAGATTCACACCATGGTTTTTACTACCACCGAAGTCAAGTTGACGGGTCGGTAATTTGAGCAGTTCTCTCTATTTCCCCCTTTGTAGATTGGAGTGACAGTTGGCACCAACCGGTCACTAGGGAGTCGTCCTTCCTCCAGTGATGCACTGAACAGTCGTGCAAGCGGTTCCGCAAGCACGCTCGCCAGTGGTTTTATTATCGCTGGATGCAGCTGGTCTGGACCCGGGGCCTTAGATATCACCAGTCTCTGTAGGTACTCTTCTACGTTCGTTGGTTCTATGTACACCCCTGGCATGGTCAGCTGCGTGCAAACTCCAGCAGACCTACCCGAGGCACCTAAATCTCTCCTATGGATGGCCTGATAGAAGTGGTACAGGATGTTGGCCTTCTCAAGGCTGGTTACTGCTGTTACTCCATCATCATCCCTAACACATCCCACAGCCTCTCTCAGTGCAGCCTTTGACTGCACGTAATTGAAGTAGGTTTTGGGGTGGGTTTTCGCATTTAGGGCCAACCTCTCCTCATGCCTGCATCGGCATTCATTTTGCACCCTGGACGCTGTTGTTCTCGCCACTTTATAGCGCAGGAAGTCACGATTAGTTTCGGTGTGCCGATATCGCCGTCAAGCTGACTGTTTCCTCTGGCTGGCCTTTCTCACCCAGCTTCTCCACCATGGTGGAGCACCCCTGAGTCTGACCTTCTTGAGTGGTGCTGCTTGGTCTGTGAGTGCCAATATTCTTTTCTTAATTCGACACCACTGTCGTTCAACATATTGCTCTCCCTCTTCTACCATCCAGCTGCACTGACGACCCGATTCAATCAGTGCAGCCTGATTGGTGGACCAGATGGTCCTGCGGTATTTGTCTGGCGCACTTTGTCCCATTGAACTCACCAACACTCGAATTACACCATGGTCGCTTCTATCCCCAACCAACGTGTTTTGTTTTTCAACGCAGTTTTCAGTCGGTTCAGTTTGCACAGGACGACGTGTGGCCTGGGCCAATCTTGCGTCCAGATTGATGTGATGTTTGCTGTTCTTGTGGCTTTTAACACTGCGAGTCAATAAGTTTTTTCTGAAAGGCAGAAAGTAAGGTGCAGTATCACGTCCTGGGCAATGGCGCTCAGGACTAATAGGTACCTACCGTCAAACTGTTTCAGGGAGGGTGGAAGACCAACAGTCATCTAATGCCCTATTGAAGACTATGAAGATTGAGCAACTTACCACATTTTCAGGTAGACTATTTCAGTAAGGTATTACTCGACTTGTAAAGAACTTGGCTCGCGCGCGGTTTAAAATCTATCGTTGATCGATAAAAATCAAAATAGGCTCGCTGGAACAAAACCTAAGCCGTAACGGATTATAAGAGATTTTTGAACAAACGTTTTGGTAAGTCTCCACGTGTCTGATCTTGTGGTTATCCGTGGGATTTAAACACATTTGTGGAATTTAAGTCCTTAATCGTAAAAGCCGAACTTCCTTCGAAGCATTAGGCGTGGAGGAATGTCGAAATCAGGATTCGGCGGCGCGCAGAAATGTAAAATGCTAGTCTCCAACGGTATACAGTGCGATTGTTGTGGTTACTGGTATCAGCAGAGCTGTGCTTGCCTAGACAAAAGAGTGCATGTGGTATACTCGAGTAATTCTGCGCTCCAGTGGATATGTTACTTGTGCGTAGCCAGGACAGAGAACACACCTAGAAAGCACACTACTATGGGCCCGGTAGCTCAGTTGGTTAGAGCGTCGTGCTAATAACGCGAATGTCGTGGGTTCGATCCGTATCCGGCCCATGCGCATCTTCCTCTTTTTCCGTTTTCATCCGACACAATTGGCTCAACTCCGTGGCACATGCTAACCAGATAGCAGTGTCCACTTTCTCAACCAATTTCATACCAGTACACGGATCCAGCCTCAAAGCTGCATCTGTGGAATACAACCTAAATTGGTACATACTTCTATAAGTATTGTGACGCATCTGGCTTAACATCATAGTACATGCTAACCATGTAACTGTGACCAATTTCTAAAGAGATTCTCTATCATTACACCGATTCAGCTTCAAAGCTGTATCTGTCGAACACATTCCACCTTGATACCTAATCCTAGACCACTTATTCATCAGGAGAACTATCTTTCACTTCGGTGTCGCCTGAGTGATTTTGCCAAACTCTGTGGTTTACTTCCTTGCATGCCTTTCGGTTTTATAAGCGTTTTTACGTGTACTTACCTTGTTGTACATATACAAGTATACATACAGGCTTGTACCATCACTATTATTCCACTTTACCCATTGATTTGTGACATGCTGTCCTTTCCCTTATCCCTTCTCAGCTGGGTACTACCCCAGACTGTTCAGTATGACTCTTTTGCTCCAGATACGGTTGGTTTGGACCTGTCAAAGGCTTGGGGTTAAAGCCCACAGTTGAAAATTTTGGCCCTGGCAGTGGATGCTGGGCATGGCTGTTTCGACGGTTTTGTCTGCATGCGTTCGCATCCCGGCAAACGTATGAACTCGCTGTACTCCCTCCTATTTATTCATATCCTTGTGACTCCATTTTCCTCGTCTATTGTCTGACATTTTGTTCTCTCCGTATCTTCTCCCATGAGAGCCGCACTCCGTTTCCCCATGATAACGGTGTAACAGTTACTTCAATTTCGATTGATATAATTATACAGCACATTCTTCCATCCTCCACACCAACGTTTGTGACCTCGTCCGCTCTGTGTTCCGTTTACACAGCGTTTCCGTTCTGTTCCCCTACCATCTCCAGTACGTACGTCTTCCAAGTATTTTATCTATCTACCTGTACTGACGTTCTACATATGATTATTTTGAACACGTGATTATGCCTTGTGCATGCCTCACGGGTTTCGTGAAATATAGCGGTACAGACAACCGTAACCGCAACACTCATCTCTATCAGACGCAAACGATCAAACGTCCAGAACAGAGGATTGCTTGCCTAGAGACCGAAGTGTATGAATTGAAACGCGCCAAAGAACTGACAACGGGCCGAAACAGGAGCGTTCTCATTATGAACCACGAAGAACCGGTTATAAGAAACGCGAAGGTCCGGGCGGATATTGACGGTCAAAGAGTCCGTGATTTACTTAGAACCGCAGGGTTACCCGTGTGTGCACTCATTCATAGGGTTCAGAGGATTGGGAGATGGAGGGAAGAACGTGCCCCAGGTGCCAGGGTTGCTAGACCCATTCTAGTTGAGTTCGGAAATCCTAATATTAGGGATATGCTACAATGCAGTAGTGAAAGAGTAGAAAGAGCTACCGAGATTAGATGTAGAATTGCGCCAGATAACTTAAGTCGCATGAGCGAACGACCTCTGGTGGGCGTCCGACCAAAAGTGGACCAGCCGCAACCAGGAAACGGAGAATATGTAAAGAGCGGCCCCAAATGTGTTCAAACCCACGCCTTGATAAAGGTTCACAAAATAAAAAGTGGACAGAAAGCACCGAGTTATGCTGATGTCGTTGCATTCACTCCACGCGTAGGCAGCCCTCAAAATGTCGCGCCCATCAGCCCGGGTCATCATACGGTAAAAATGCAACCGAGAATGCCGAAAACCAACGTCAAACAAAAGCTTACCTGTAACATCTTTTCCCCGCACTAAGGGGGGTAAACGGCAGACAGAAAATCATCGGGGTAAACCAGGAGCGAACAGGAAGACTAGCATAAAAACGGCCAGGAGGATAAAAACGAAACTGAGGGAGATTTCAGCCGTAGATATGAATATAACTGTGACCCCAGTCTCCACTTCTAGGTGTACGCAAACTCCCGAAAATAAGAGTCCAGGGGTTGATATAAGAAAGCCGCGGGTCGCAACTACCTTACAAACCAGCCATGGTAGCGTTCAACTGGATACAAATAAACCGGAAGCGCACTGAGAGGACAGGATGGCTCAGACAAAAAGACGTATTCATGAGGAATCGCGCATTAAACAAATCAGCGTGGGAGAAATACCGGGGGAAAAATCTTTCCGAGACCTCGGGTGCTACGCCCGACGGAACTCATGAAGAAATTGGCCTAAACACAGAGGCCCCAGCACTGCAACCAAGAATTTTGAAAACGTGGTACACAAACGTCTACAGTGTTGGAGATAAGTGAGTCGAACTGAAAATCAGGTGCCAGAATATGACGTAGTCATTCTGACCGAAACATGGTTGTCATCAAGACAAGTCATAGATCACCTTATCTCCCCGAACTTTGCTGGACAGGAGGTAGGTAAGGGAGGCGGAGTGTTGATCCTCGTGAAGAATCAATATGCTCAGTGGGAAAACACTGAACTGAGACTGTGCACTCCTACTATGCAAACAGTGGGATGCACTATTTGAAACCGAGGACGACACTTCGTCATCCTTGGAGTCTACAGGGCACCCTCATAGTTGGTGAGTTTAACCTGCCAGAAATCGATTGGGAATACGCTGACGCGGGAGATAGTCCCTCAGATGAGGAGTTCCTAAGGTTTTTCGACAAGCAGGCACTTTATCAACATGTTCGACAACCAAGTCGATTTAGATATGGGCAGAGATCTTCCATTTTAGATTTAGTGCTTACCCGAGCGGAGAACTACGTCCGTGAATTGACTATGGAAGTCCATCTGGGTGAGAGCGATCATAGTGTAATCACGTTTAGGACATGCATAACTCAGGAAAACCCCCTGCTGATTCTGGAGGACCCGTCTCGAACGAGTTACGCGTGCGTCACTACTGATACGTCT